TTGTTAGCATTCCTTCATTATTTTATTTCGCCCCTTTCTTTACCTGCTTGCGTGTGTAATTTTTGAGCCCCTTCCTTTTCTCATACCTTCTTATTTTTCTGGTGTTTCTAGGACTGGACATGGTCTGTGGGCTGTAATCCCTTATCTATTAGTTCTAAAGGTTGGCAACTTTCAGAATTTCAGCAAGATGTGATCGCACGGAACTATATTATTACTGGAGTGGAGGAATCCATACGAGTAGTCAATTCAGCAATTCAACGATTGGTAACAGAGAGGACATGTATCCTAAGAATCGTCTTGTCATTCAATTTCTTGAAAATTAGCTGCGAGTAATGCTTTTTTTATGCCTGCTTTGAACTTAACTAGTTGGAGCAAGTACTATGAACTTCACACAGTGATTCATAGTTGGGGCACATGCTCTCAGTTGAAAAAAAAACACATGCACATTTGAAAATTTGTGGGAAAAATATCATTGATGCACACTGCTGAAAATTATGTGTACTATCAAAATTTTGCGCAAAATATCTTTTTTGTACAACTTACCAACATCCATATGTTATCCATTTTTGCCACTACACACTTTTTGTTTGCACAATTTACATCCATGCTAGCCAATTGATAGTCCAACTTGTACTATAGTGGACGTTGTGGCTTCAAACCTAGCCAAAAGCTCTGTAACAGGGATGTTTGCATTTTATTCAGTTTTGCTTTTCCATTAACCGTAACGACGCTTACCCCAACTCGCTTGGGACAAAAGGCTTTGTTATTGTTGTAACCTTAACAATCTGCAGCTGAACAAGGCTTTAAAATTTTCAAGACCAAGGAGAGCGGGATGGTTGAAAAGTACAATTCCGTTGTTAACATGTGGAGAAGGGTAAGTTGTTGTCGGATATGCCTCTTTTACCTATGTTATTTTTGGTATATAGGGGGCTAATGTTTTGTTTGTAGGTTGCCTTTATGTCTAGAGGGTTGCGGTATGGTGATGCGGTAAAGCTCATGTCGTCGCTCGAGGAGGCTTCTAATGGGTCAGTAGTCCTCGAGCTTTCACACTTTATTTACGTCTTGTCTGATTTGTTTTGCTATGTGAAGTAGAATTTGATAATGTGCATTTGTGAATATTTTATTTCTTGTTGGAATAAAATGCAATTAGCTGCTTACAAAAGCTATTAAGCTCAAGCTTAAGCTTTTATAAAATATTCTGGAACTCATTAAGGTCCATGTTAGCGAATTACATTAAGATGTTTTTTTGTTTTATCAAATGGAGTTGTGTCCCTAACTGGAATGATCTGGTACATACCTGGTATTCTGATGCTTTTCTGTTTTTTCCCTGTCAGATTTTCTCATGCTGTGAACTCAACCATCTCAAGTCTACACCCTGCAAAATGTGCTCGTCAAAGGAAAATTGACGTACAGCTAGACATGACAACCATCCCTGCTTTTATAGTTGTTTTTGGGTTGCTTTGGTTTCTTTTGCGACCAAGGAGGCCGAAGCCCAAGATCAACTGAGCACAGTAATTTTCAACTTGGGTACACAGTTTGACATGATCCTTGTAAATGCTTGCACCATGGGTGATAGCTTCTGTGGAGGTCTAAAAAGGCGACAGGATGGACTCAAGCAACGCTAGATGCAGTACACAGGGGTTCGACCCTCATTGGTCACACCCTCTTTATTTAGATGACGGGGCTTGCGGGCCCATCATTTTAGAAGATCTGACACAGAAAGGGTGTAAACATGCACTGGACGGTGCATACATTTTTGGGCTCTATTTTCTTGCGTGGTTAACCGAATCCATCTTACCAAAACCAGAACTGGGGTTCATCTTACCCTCGAGTCCTTGAACATGATACCTATGTGCACTGTCCATCGATTTTCTTGATAAAGGTTATTGTGGAAAAGTATCTTGTCGCGGTCGGTATGCATGTGTTGTTTCATCCCCTTTTATTGGTCCCTGATATTGCAGAATGTATTAACTGTCGAGAAAATCATATGATGCGCATGCTCTGTATTTCATCTCCCATTTGTCTGAGGTGACCTGTGGTTCGTCAGGCCATATAGCTCGGTGTTCTTATGAAGAGACTTGGATTGTGTATGAAGCACACCTGCATCTTTCTGAAGTTGCTAGGGCACGTTGGCGGCTTGGTGTACAAGTTCCTCCACGGAATTGTACGATTTGTAAAATATATCCCTCTGTAACTTAACATAAGACGTTTTTAGTTTTGAAGGCATTAAGACGTTTTGAAGGCATTTTTCCGCGATCAAAGTGTTTGCTGGGACCTTCCCTCATCTGACGTTCGTGAGATCAAACGGTGCTAGTGTTGTATTTGATGGTTCGAAATGAGGTTTGAAATTTGCTATTGCAACGAGCACCACGAGAAACATGTACGCCGTGCCAGCTACTCGGAAAAATTAGTCACGTTTACTAACAATCAGAAAAATTACTCACGTTTACTAATAATCAGGTATCTGAATTTTTTGTGTGGCGTCAATCACTTTTCTGTGAATCGTGAGGCCGACGATGGGAATGGCGTGAGGAGCAGGCCCGGGCACAAGGGCGTGCAACCTGGCGCCTGCACAGGGGCCCCAGCATTTTGGGGCCCCAGATTTTGCATGCAACGCAGTACATAAATAGATGGGCCACTTTGGGTGTTTTCACCTTGGCCACTGTTGCCTGGCATCTGGCTGGCCTGCCTGAAGCAGCCCGATCGGGACATACGGTATCGTCTTACAATGGTTAATAAGATAATCTTATCTTAAGTCTTGCATGTGATTTAGAGATGACAACATTTTTTGTCTACAATGGGTCATCTCTTAGCCTTATCTTCAATAACTAGCAATTTCTAAAAATGTGGTGAGACATATTGTGCTAAGAGATCATCTCTTGTCTTCTCTTAAATAAGAGAAGACAAGTCTTTTCTTATGAGTTCTCTCTCCTCTACCTCATCATCTATCCTACATGGCACTCCTAAGATAGCACCACATGCCCTTAGCGATCGATCGAAACGAGCGAAGCCTGAATCCCTTATCTCTTCGAGTCTGTCGTCGTCTTTTCGTCTGGCGGCCATCGACATGGCGGCATGTTAGGGTTCCTCCTTGCTCAGAATCCGGTTTCAGAAAGGCAGAACCAGGCAAGAATCCTTCCTCGGTCTCATCTGTTATTGAATCTTGATGGCTTGCATCAAGTCCCAATGTGGAACGCCAACCCGATGCTGGCAGGGAGGATCTGAAGGCAAGGACTGTTCAAGCCATCTCACGATCTCCAATTTTTTGAGGGTTGTCACATGGCAATCCCGTGAGGCCTAGACCGTGAGTTTCGATTTCGCCTACTATTTACTTTTGCAAAATCCTGTAGCTATGTTTATTCTTTTCATCAATTGTTAGGCATCTAGTATTACAAGATCCAAGTCACGTCTTAATTTAGAAAACATAAATCTTGGTTAGCAAAAGCGTAGGAAGAAACAAAATAATAATCAAGGACCTAATTTAGTCTTAAAAAAGGAGATATAGAAAAGAAACAAAAACCCTAGTCTCATGTCCTTCGATAATCAGTCACTTGATCAAGACCAGGCACGTGATAGTGATGTTGACAATGATCCGAGCCCTAGCGATAGCCACATAGAGACATAAAATAATGTTGAGGGAGAAGAATAGGTACGCTATGTAACATATAATGATCTTAATATTATTGTAGTTATATATATGTTGTTCTTTTAGTGAGGTAGGGCCCATTTTAGCGTTTGGCACAGGGCCTCGAATTTTGCTGGCCCGGCCCTGGTGAGGATTGTCGGCCATGGTGAGGTTGAGCCATATATGAGAGGGGAGGATGCAACCTCTATGCCGTAATGGCACCTGCCTTTGGGTCCATGACATGTGGCCAGTCACCTATTGGCCGCACATGTCATACTAACAAAGGCAGGTGCCTTAAGGCACGAAAGCGCAATCCAAAAGCCAACAGCCGCAAGTAAATGCAACCGGTGCCATTTTTCTCACGTATCTTTTGTACCACGAGAACTCGATAGATGCAAACTGAGTTTGGGTTGAAGTCACTTTGATAGGGGTGAGTGTTTATGTGGGGCATGTCTACTCAATCAAACTAGAAAGAGAAAGAGAAAAGAAAAAAAAAGTTTGCACGAATCTTAACATAAAATCAATGAGGTATGCAATACTTAGGAAAACTGTTTTGGAAAATAACTTATGATCGACTTGAAAAATTGGAAAGAAATACTGGACCAAAAATCAATGGGGAGTCAAACATGCAAAGTCCTCCCATGGAAGGGCGTCGAGCTGCATGCGTGCCGTGACCACACAAACCCAGCCCGGAAAATATTCTGTAGAGCATAGGCTTTGGGACACCCCCTTATCTAGCCACTCATTTTTGCATCACGATTCGTGCGAGTAGATTTGTCTTTTTTGTTTCTCCCATATAGAAAAACATATGAACTTCAAACTTGGCAGCTCAACAAAACATTCTTACTAGAATGTGGGAAAAACCTTTCAGATTTTTTCGTGCAATATAAATACTAAAAAGTATATTTTTTAATACAAAAAAAATCTAATTTCGTATATTTATGTTTGACAAAAAAATCTGAAAGTTTTTTCTCACATTCTAGTTAGAATGTTTTGGTGTCTTGCAAAGTTTGAAGTTCATATGTTGTTTTATTTTAAAGAAACAAAAAAGAAAAAATCTAATGTACAAAGTTAGTTGTCTAACACGGATCTCAAAGCAATGTTGGAGGGTAAGGATAAGGGGTGTCCAGAAACCTGAGCTCTAAACATCCGCGTCAGCCCAGCCCCGAGAATCCGCGCCGCCGCAGTCTGCCGCCGAATCGCAAAATCCCGCAACGAACGCCGCCTGCCATTAACCGCGCACACCAACTCCCTCCGATCTGCTGCCTCCCGTCATCAACGCCGTGACCATAATAACAATCCCCGCTCCCTCGCATCTCCTGCCTCCCATCCCACGCATCACCCACGGAGCTTCCGTTCCAGCCCGCCGACCAAGATGCTGCCGGCCGGCGCCCACCGCGCCATGCCGGAGGGGGCGACGGCGCTGGAGATCCCCACAGACCGTCCGGCCTTTCTCACCCTTGTGTACTTCGACGGCCCTCCGCCCGCCACCGCCGTCCGCCTGGCCTTTCCGCCGCGCACGGAGCGCCCGGAGTCGATCAAGGTGTACATGAACAACTTCAGGCGCGAGCGCGACCCCGAGGTGGTGTACCACGCGCGGCGCTTCGCGTACGCGTACATCACGCCGCCGGAGGCCCCCTGCCGCGCCGACCCGGGGCCCTTCATCCGCCGCGCCTTCCGCACCCTGGCGCTCGACCTGCCGCAGAACTTCGAGCTCCTCCCTGACACCTGCCACGGCGACATGGCGGTGCGCTTCCGCACGCCGGACCACCGGGAGGCGGCCATGCGCCGGCAGCCGTTCCTGCTGGACGGGGCCACCGTGAGGCTCGTGCGCGAGGGGGAGACGCCCAACGTCCGGCGGGTCACGCACGACTACCTCGTCCACGCGGCGCTGCGCGACTACCCCGTCGAGCAGCGCACGGAGGAGATGATCAGGGACAACTGCAGCGGGTTCGGGCTCGTGCGCGAGATCGACCCGGCCTGCTTCGCGGCGCCCGACCTCTCCGCCGTCCGCGTCGTCCTTCAGAACGAGCACCCTCGCGAGGTTCCCCACGAGCTCCGGATCCTCTACGATGGTGGCTTCACCAGCGTCGTCCCCGTCGAGATCGTCGGGGTTCGGCACCGCTCGCACTCATGCGATGTCAATGGGCAGTACGTGCCTCTCTTCCAGACCCCGGTTGCCGCCGCTTGAATTGATGGATTTCAACCTCAAACAAGTTTCTGCTAATGTTTAGAGTTAATTTCGGAAGTGGATAAACTGAGCCCGAGCTCATATGAGCTCGGTGAACAGTAAAGTCCAAAATAAATGGAAAAAAAAATCTGAGCTCAGAGCTCTTTCGACCTTCTATCCCCTATTTTGTCATTTTTAGAGCGATCATCGATGTTACCCAATTTATAACTAAACTTATGCCACATTTTATCGCCTCTTTAATTTTTGAGCATGTTCTGTCACGCTAGTCCACTTGCCATTGCACACGTAGCATGCAATATTGAGGGATTTGCTTCCATATGGATATGATTAATAGAAAGGCTACAGTCAAAATTGATTGTATGCATCTTAGCTATGCAAAGGCCAGGTGTTGCTTATCATGCTTTATATTCGCTTGATACTATATTTTAAGTTAATAAAAATGCTTATGGAAAAAATGTGTACGATCGATATTGTAAATCAATATTCAGAACAAATACTATTGGAGCCTTTTATTTGGCAGACCTAATGTTAGGGAGTGAAAATGGATACACTACCCGTACAACCCACACATGACCTGAAATCGAAACACACTGTTGCTTGGACAACATTGTAGGGTAAGGGCATCTCCAATGCGTTTCTGGCCACAAATGTCCGTGGACACATCCAGACGTTAAGTGTATATTAACTTTGTCTTAAGCCAAACTTTGTAAACTTTGAGAAAAAAAATTAGGATCCCAATAGCTGGCGTTCGACCTCCAGCAAGGAGGATCGATCAAGCAATTATTCGCCGGGGGTGGGCTAGAGCGACCCCGATTGACCCAAAACTCATAGTTAATAAATAAAATGGCATAAAAAAATCTTATAAAAACAGAGAAAACTTAAAATTTGAAATGCTAAGGTTACAGTTTATGTAAATGTCGGTCTCTCATCTCAAAATTAACCATTAATGTTAAAAACCTGGATTTAAAACTTTTCATGGTCCTATAATTTGAGTTGCCATGTCAACAAAGAGGGAAGAAATGCACAGACAAAAAAAGCCATCTCCTAAATAATAAAATGACACCACTTTATAATATAAAAATGCCATCTCTTAATAAATTAAAAATTCCATCTATTAATAAACAAAAAATGTCATCTCTTAATACAAAAATGCCATCTCTTAATAAAAATGCCGTCTCTTAATAATAGAAATGCAATCTCTCAATAAACAAGAAATGACATCTCTTAATAAACAAAAACTGCCATCTCTCAATAAATAAAAAATGCCTTATCTTAGTAAACGAAATAATACCATCTCTTAATAATAAAAATGCCATTTCTTAATAAATAAGATCACCATCTCTTAATAATAAAAATGCCTTGTCTTAATAAACAGAATAATATCATCTCTTAATAAAAAAATGCCATTTCTTAATAAACAAAATTACCATATCTCGATAATAAAAAATTTCATCTCTTAAAAAATGTCACCTCTTAGTAATTAAAAAGCCATCTCTTATTAATAAAAAATGCCACATCTTAAATAATAAAAATGCCATGCACAAAAACAAACTTTGTGAAACAAAGAAGAAAATGTTTCTTTTTGAAAATTCCATATGACATAGTTTATTTTTTTTATAAAATCCCATGTTAATATTATTTAGAAAAAGCTGTCATCTGGTATAAAAAAGAGAGAACAAATCTTACCTGTCCTGGCTAGTTTACCAGTCAGATGTGGAGACGAATCCGACGGGAGAGAGC